TCTACCATTGCTTGTGATTTCCCACAAAACTACACCAAGGCTATATATATCAGACTTGTAATAAAGAGTTGCATTATCATGCGTCAACAGTAGGTTATGAATTCTGAAGCTGGTTAGGAGCTACATATGTGCAAGGACGTGTGGATCTTGTAATTTGCATTTTTAAAGAATTTACACACTTATAAAACCTATAGGTATATATTCCTTATATATAGTAAATCACAAGACCTTACACGTTCCTGCAATCAAGACTAAGCTACTATAAATTTGTGTAAGTAATAACTTTCTCAATGTGCAAAAAAATATTAATAAAAATGCTGGAAGGCAATTATAAATTCGATTCATCTAAAGAAAAATTATCGGTTAATACTGCATGCATTAACCAGGGTCTTATTCAAGAAATTTGTATTGAAATTGTTAGTACCGGGGTACTGTTCGCGAATTTAGTGATTTTATTGGCAGAAAAGAGGGTGCTTTATCAGTGTCAATGGTGCCTGTCTGTAAAAATATATTGACCTTATAATTAAATGAATCGATTTTTTTCTTCTTTTTTGGCCTGAAACAGCAGTGACAACTACGTTACATCACTAGTATATATATATTGAAGTACAGTAGTCGTATAATTATGCTAATCTTCAACAATTATGTCTTGTTGAAATGCCCATTAATAAAAGTAGAAATCGATCAACGTGAATAATTGACATAGTAAAAATAAATAAATAAATAAGCTTGCCAAATGACTGGGTATAAATTAGGGATTTAAGTAATCAGTTAAAAAATTCGAGTTAAAAAAAAATTGGTTATCATGTCGGGAAACAAAAATAACAATTACTTAACGGCTGAGTATTTTACAACTAAGCGTGCTAGTAATGAAACTGTAAACGCTTATGTTGAGAGGATTAGTCAAAAAAAATAATAAACTTTATCCCTTGGAATGAGATTGATGAAAAAATAGAATATGTTGATGCTGGAGGTTCTGGGGTTATTACAAAGGCGAAATGGATAAAAAAGAAGATAACTGTTGTTTTAAAGACAGTGATAGTTTCTGAAGAAACAAATTCAGATAATGATGAATTTATTAAAGAGGTCAGGATGATGTGTCAACTAATTTATTTATATATTAATACAATTTTTTTCCATTTAATGTAATTGAGCAGATTAAGGCTTTTCATAATATTGGACTAGTGCTTTCAAGTAAAACGGATGAAGAATATAAAGAAAAATCATCTCACATAGGATATGAAAATGTAATCAAATTTTATGGTGTATCGAGGTATCGATATCATGTAACTTTTAATTTACATCAACATGTTGCAAAATGAATGTGTATTTTGTTGAAATTTGACCTTTCTTTTTTTTTTAAAAAAAACGATCTTTAGCAAAAAATCCGGTAAATTATATATATATGAACTTCAATTCATGACTATATATTATTCATTTCACTATTATTTCTATAAATAGATCTTTATCTGATACTCGAGTACGCAGAGCTTGGTTGTTTGCGTTCTTTTTTGAATATAAATACTATAAATTGGGTGCATAAGGTCAATATTGCAAGACAGATTACCTGCGGCCTATATTTTTTACATAAAAATGAAATTTTACATCGCGACCTAGTAAGATACCATTATTAACAGTCAATTAACATGGTTCAATGTATAATTAATAAATTTTATTTATATTAGCATACTAAAAATGTGGTTATCAAAGAGGATGGAGATGGTGTTAAAGCCATTATTACAGATTTTGGACTTTCAAAAGTTCTTACTCGTAATAGCAAATCAAATCAGAAAATAGAAGGATACACACCATTTGTAGACCCTATGACATTTAATCATAATGCAACTCTTTATTACAAGTCTGATATATATAGCCTTGGTGTAGTTTTGTGGGAAATCACAAGCAATGGTAGACCCCCGTTTGAAAAAGTTGCAAACAACCTTAGAATTGCGATCCAAACAATGATGGGAATACGAGAGAAACCAATAAATGAGTCAACTGTCTCCTATGTTAAGCTTTATAGCAATTGCTGGGATGGGGATCCTAAGTTGCGACCAGAAATTAATCAGGTATATGAATCAATACATCAAAAAGACATAATATCAGGTGAAAATGGTAAGATTTACCACAAAGTTGTGATTCATCACAAAGTAATGATTCGTCAAAAAGTAATGATTTATCACCAAGAAGTAGTATTACTGATGCAGATACCGGTGAGAAATGTTTCATTGAATTAGTTGTTGAATTAATAAACGTTACTATTTTTTTAACAATTTCTTATTAAATATAAAAAATAAATTAATTTAGAATATAATAAAACCGATGACGAAGAAGTTTTTACTATTATGTCTGAGGTGTTTGGACAGCTTTCTACCGAAGCTCGTAAGAAGATTCAGCAAATTTCTGATGGTTAGTGTTCTAAGAACTGTTGTTCATAGTGAACGATTTTTGACGGATATTTCTTCTATATAGACAAAATTGGTCGTATAACCAAAGCTGCTGCTGCTGTGAATCTTACCACTTTGGAAACAAACTTATAGTGAATTTATTATAGCCTGATATAATTCATACATATATTCAGACAGTTTACAGAATATTTTTCTGATTACTTCCGATTGGTTATCAATTTATAATATTGTAACTCAATAATAGATTCTATATTCTCATGTTGACTTAAAAAAAAATAAATTTATTTTTGAAATATGAGTATCGCCGTTCTGCGATTTATGCCTGGGTTGGCAATCTATATATCCAGTGCCTTTTCACTGGATTCTGGACATTTTCGGATTGTTCAATGCGTGTCCAGTGTCATATATATATATATATATATATATATATATTTAAAAAATCAACTAAATAAACCATTATCAAACCTAGCGCGACCTCACAAAGTACTGTTTATCTGACCAGATTTATGATAAACATAATAAATATTAACGTTAATGCAATCTATTTAAAAATAATTAATTCTATTTAAAAATAATTAATTCCGTTTAAATTAATTTTTCGAATTGAAAGATATCTGGTTATGTGCTAATGTTCCGCGTCGATCCGGGATTATTCGTGAAATGGCCCAGGTCGATTTGTTATGCGGATCATGACCCTGATCGATTCATGAGACCTAAGCAATGTAATAAATAAGGTAGCTGCGCAACGTAGTTGCGCTAAAACCAGGAACGGATGTCCAGTAGATTGTGTTCGAAGTTCTAATAATTTATAATTGATGAATTATACTTATTGATCTAACCTCATAAGCATTTATACAGTATTTCTCAAAAATATCCTACTATATGAAGTATTCTCTTCTTCACGGATCTGTATCACTTTATAGACACCTTATTTCACCAACAACCAATTTACAGATAAGTCTATTTTCCAGACAATCAATTTTTAGATGAATAAATTGTCTATGAAATGAACCGTTTGTAAAATAAACTGTTCA